ACAGAAAGGAGAGGGTGAAGGCAAAGATGTGGGAGGAGGATACAGATTCTACCAAAAACGCATAAGGTTGGCAAAAAAAAAAAAAAAAATCTAAAACAAATGTAAATTCAAATCATCAGTTAATTAAATGTCAAAATAATGTAAATGCTTTCATAATGTGTATATTTATGCTTTTCTTTTGAAGCTGTTTGCATTTCCTGTTGACTGGCCTTGGGAAGTACTTTTGACCCCATACTCCTCCATTCCCTCTCCCCTTCTGTAGGGCCTAGGTCAAGAAGCTACAGGCTAAACCACAAAATCTCTTCTGAACTCAGGAAGTGGGCCTGGTTTGTGTTTGTGAGTGTGCACATGTATGTTTCTGTTTGCTAGCCGAGGTCATGAGAACAGAGTGCAGGCTATGGCCACCCATCCCTTGTGTGGGAGGGTGTTATTCAGTGGTTCCTTTTAGATTTTTCCTTAATTCTGAGTTCATCATGTCAGGGAGAGTTCTTCCATCCCCATAGAGTCTATTGAAGAATCCCAACTATCTAGATAGTGCAGATATAAGGGGAACGCTAGCAGCCCATTAAACACAGCTAGGTCTCTGCCATCCTCTTTACTGACTTTCCTGGTGCATGCCATCTGTTCTTATGGTGTCTTGTTGCTTGCTCTCTGTTGTTTTTGTCCCTCACTGCTGCTGGAACACTGGAATTTCCCCACTGTGGGATAAATAAAGTTCTACCCCCCCCCAGTACAGCCAAAAAGGCACAAACAATGTTAACATGACTTGTTATTTATGTTCATCTCATTAACCACCTCTCTCTCAAGGGCCAAAAAGTGATCAGCGATCCTGAAACACATTAAGCAAAGGCAGTGAGCAGGCCTGTAGTAGCTGGATGAAGACGTGAGCTTTGAGCTAATTTCTAATGAGAGGCAAATCTTTTATACCATGTGACCACCCAAATCAGCTGACGTCCTCCAGGGGAGCAGTCAGGTGACTCGGCTGTTAGACCCAAAGGTTACAGATGTCATGTGACCTCAACACTCCAGCCGTGAGGGTGGAGGGTGGGAGAAGGGGGGAAGGTGAGGGTGAGAAAGCGGTGCTGAAGAGTAAAGGACAGAGGAAGAGGAAAGCTTACCTTTGACAGGTCCGATGTATATTATTTCAGAGGCTAGGATGAAAAGAGAAAGGGTAAGAGAAAGAAAGACAGGAAAGGAGTGGAGGAAAGAAGTGGAAAGGTAACAAACAACACTGAGTGGACAGATTTAGGATACTGAAACTCGACAAGGACATGAGTCAACAAAAAGGAAGACATTAAAATAGAGAAATACAAGAATGAGGAGATCTGTGGCATTTCCATGGCTACCGCCAACTGCTTGCCTCAGAACAGTTGACTCAGTTTAACCCTCTTTGCAGAGGGAGATCACCCTGGCATGACTAGCAAGGTTTCCATCCATTTATTCACAGCCATTGAAGACAGCATGACTGATTGAAAACCATGCAATGCATTGGTCAGCATGACCCAGACCGGCATGAATAAACCGCTGCACCAGCATAAAGTGCTGGCTGTCTGGGGTATGTCATTCTACACGCTAACAGGAAAGCTAATTAATAAAACAAGCACATAAAGATGTGGTGGGTCTGATCCTGGCAACACCATGGCTCTCAGTATGAGTCACAGTAACAGCTGAGGATTAGTAACATGGGTTTTCTACCTAAATGACCAGTTCTGTAGGGCACTTCCATGAGTGTGCAGACAGACAGGGGACATGGAGTTTCTTAAATGGTACATTTAAATCTGGAGACTGAGGTTTTAGATGAAGGTTTACCAGTCCTCAAATGGAAATAATTGGTCATGTACTTCTTAAAACCTTCCTTAGTATTCACCATCTCCCCAAAGTCATTTGCTTGTGAGATTAGTGTGGACCTCACTGTACAGTAGAGATATTCTATTCTGTATGTATTTGAGCTGTTATATAAGGAATCTATCAGTCTATTTCAATCCTTTTCATTCAAAAACATTAACAAATTACCAAAACTGTTGCTGATCGGCTGACTAAATGCTGGAGCTCTAAATTTGATTAGAGCATATTCTGACAGAATTTTCCTTACTCAGCAAAATTGGACCTCCAAGGAGCTGCAGTGAGCCCTCCTCTCTTCATCTGTACAGTACTGTGGAGTGTACAGAAGCAGCTAGCGCACAGGAGAAGACTATCAGGTGACCTGAAAGGCCAGCCCTTCCTCACAATGGAAGAAATAATGCCTTGCATCCCAGCCATGAAATACATTCCCTGACTGCACCATGTGATCTGCTAGGGAGGGTTGGCAGGAAGTCTGTGTGTGTGTTCACACACCAAAGTCAGACACACAGGGAGACTGGTGACAGTAAACAGATTCTGCACTTTAGTGTTGAAACACTGTTTTCCTGCACCACCTAACTGAAAATGAAATGCATCTGTTCCAGAGGCATCATCATAGCCCACCCTATGATGCAACTGTGGACGTGATCATGTGCTTTGTTCATAAAAATTAACTATATTTAAATCATTACCACTTTTTTGTTTTGCATTTTCAATCACTCATGTGAGTTCCTATGTATGTTGAGCTGAGTCTGTGGCCAGAGCAGAAGAGACCCATTCACCCTGTCTCATATTGTTAGCAGTTTTGCATAATGCTAACTCCGTGACAGTAGTGGAGCCTAGTTTGTTATGCTCCTTCCTGCTCACGTGGTTGTAACTCTCCCATCACTGTCAATGGTAGGGGGAGAAGGGCCACTACTACTGCAGTTGTGTAGCCTGGTTGGGGTTTAAAATGACAGCGTGACCAACTACGTGTGGAATCTCAATCATTCTTCGTCCTCTCTGCCAAGGGCCTGGGTGCTATGGCTGCAGATCCCATGAAGGCGTCACACATTCTTATTTGGTCACTACAAGCAGGGTGCAGCAATCTGGAGTTATCGGAGTGGTTTCTGAACAAGCATCATCAGACACAAACAGAATGTAAGACCGTAAATGGCATGTGGTAAAACTTTCAATTTAACCTGCTACTTGAGGGAAATAAGATTATTACTTTTTTGCAATGAAAAATAAAACCCAGTACCCCATAATCACTTCAAAGCAGAGCTGGACCTAAGAACTGAATGCACAGACTTAGGTTTATAAAAACAAACAACTCTTTCACATGAACCAAGTGCAAAACTTGCAGCTGACTTATTTTAATTAAGGAAAATAATTTCCAAATTAGGTATAAAATCTTGATATGACGATAAACTAAAAATTCAGTGGGAATTCTTGGAGGAAAAAAACTACAACAAGTGCTTTGGAGCCATAAGTGCTTTGTTTTTATACAAGAATTACTATTATTCAACTCACCTGACCCAGGGGTTAACAGTGGACCCTCCATCTCCAGATCATCCTCCTCTGCCTCCTCCAATTTTTTTTTCTTCTTCTTGGGATCACGGGGCTTACGCAGTAGAGATAACTCCTCTGGGTGGCGGATATCTGGAGGGAGAGCAAGAAAACTTATTTATCGTTACATAAACATAATATTTGGTAGTAGCACAGCCATGCCAACCTGGTCATCAAGATGGACATCATAAAATCGATGTCGTTTCTGATAAACCATACAACCTCTTCCAAAGCACAGAAACAATGTACAGAAGCTGTACAGTAGCTGTACAGTAGATGAATGCAGGCGGCTACAGCAAATCAATTTAAAATGAAGGCAAGCAGGAAAGGCAGAAGGAGACAGAGCAAAAGCACAGAGGATGGGTAGGAACTGTAGACAGCTGTGCACACGAAGACTGGAAAATTGCAAATCCCTTTTCTCAGGGCCCCAACAAATCTTGCTTCAACTATAATCCCCAACTGAGACAGGGCAAACACAACCTCTATTCTTCTGACTTTTAGAAAACCAGAATTCAGCTGCTGTTGTTGAGTAGCAAGACAGCACAGCCTTCACAAAATCATCATTCCTAAAGTTACCCACATACTAGGGGTGTCAAGGTACATGTATTTGTGCCCAACTGTTTCCGTACAGGATGTGAGGTTTGGTGCAGACGTGTACTGAATGCAATCTTTCACAGTAGCTAACAGTAGGCTTGTTTTGTGTGTTTTGTGAATATTTTTTTCAAACCAAAGTTTCCACATGAATATATTTAGTGGTGGACCAAAGCACAGTAAATACACACATCATGATTACCGGTAGGTTAGCCAAGCCTCTGACTGGCAAACCTCAGGGCCAGTGCAAATGAGACATAGCTAGAAGACCCTTCCTTATCATTATTAAGGTCTTCTGTCTGGGAACTCCTCGTCTTTCCAGTGAAATACTACAATGGGCACAGACAAGTGAATAAGAGGAAAGTCTTATTTGTTTATTATGCTCTGTTCAACTGTCTAATATGTTAATCAGTGGCGATCAGGAACATTTTTGGCAACATGTCAAACTTGCTAATTCATTTGAAACAACATAAGTATCACTACTGCAATATATAATTTGTTTAATTAAAAAAATATAAACTGTTGATGTATGCAAAAGATCCTAATAAATGACAAGTGATTTTACGATTTTTTCTTTCCCTTACTTACCAAAAATGAATCAAACCTCGACTTCAGAACTGAGGTACGTACCACACAGTGATGTGCACCGTTACACCCATATCAGATACTATAACTCTGTTTGTGTGGAAATGGAAGAGCTGCGTGCAAAATTCCTATTAGACAGTAAGACTGAATATAATGACTAAAACAGAGCAGCGACTCTTCCACCAGCAACTCTCCCCACTTTTCCCTCCATCCATGGGCTTGGAGGCCAGGGAACCATCACTCAGCAGCAGCAGCAGTGATGTTTTAAGATGGGTTTGGGATGGTTCTTGGGGGCATGAGAAGGCCAGCATGTGTCAGGACTAGAATAAATGTAGCTTATATAAATGCACATCTGGATCCACAGCTGGATTTGATTTTCTTGAAGACTCCATATAAATGAAAAAGTGAGGTGAGAGCCTTTTCAAGGTTTTTACTTACTTTTGCACAGTTGTAAAAATGTTCATAATTTTCAATTAAAAATTTTCTTTTAAAGTTTTCTAAAAAATTAAGGCTTGTAAAGGTGTTGCAGACTGACTGAACTGGTTGATGAGGGTGCTGAGGAAAGCATGAGCACAAAGGGAGAGATAACTTCTTGGCTCGGTGAGAACGATTGTTGGCTTGTGCAACTTTAGCAAAAGCATTCCAGGGCTTTTAAGAACTACCAGATGGGAGCTCACTCCCCGTCTTGCTGCCTCCCTCCGCCCTCATTCTCGCTCTGCTGCAGTGGTGGAGCACAGTCCCTGTGTGTCCTTATACAGCCATGTGAGTAGCAGGCGTGTTGCTGAGCTTTAGTTCCACTGAGCTGTGTGGGGAGGCCAATACACAGTGTGTCAAAGTGTGTGTCAAACTGCGTAAATGGTTAGAACTATTTCTCTTGGTGAGGCAGAGGCATGTGGCATTTTCCTACAATGTCACTTTAACAGTTCATCCTTATGATCTAACGGTCAACTCTGGAAAGTCATTCTCAAGCAATAATAAATCTGATTAATTAATTCAAATGGCAGAGATACTTCCTAACACCCTAACAAAGCAACAGCAGATACTGTGGTCACAAAACCTTTAATAAACTATTACTCAATTTGCTATATTTTGTGACAGATTTGGGATCAAAGAGAAAATGAAAATTCAAATATTAATGTAAAACTAGTATTTTAAGCTCTTCTATTCAGTTACTGCCTTGAATACAAGAGATGTGGAAAATTTGTGGGTGGAGTAAATAAACATATGCTGTTTTTAATCCCTTCCATGAAGGGAGTGGAGGCATAGTTGATATGGACATTTCATGCCTGTTAAAGTATGAATACCATCAAAAATATACAAATAAAGATGACAAAAACAGGCTGAAATGACTATATAAAGAAGTTTCCCCAAGTATTTTTCTGCTGACAGACTAAGTTTTGTGTTGAATTGTATGTTTATAGTTACAATTTAAGAATCACAATTTAGTGGGAAAGACTGTTACTACGTGCACTGCATATTGTCTGAGGAGGAGGATGACACCTTACACACTAAGACACCAATCTTCCATCCTGCAGACTTGTGGCAGTGACCGCGCCTAGAGCCAGAGGAGAGGGCTTGACTGAGAGCCAGCTAGGCTTGCAAGACCTACTCCTTGGAACACATGATTCACTGCAGTGAGTAAGGCCAGCCGCAGAAGAATCTCAAACACAGTCACAGTCTAATTTTACAGCGCTAAAGTTCACCGTACAAACAGATGGAGACCCTACATGGACAGCAAGAAAAAAATGATCGGAGTGACTTCATCCTTGTGTTCCCCTTGCATACTGCTCAGTGTGAGGAATTCACTGGGCTACAAGGCTTACTGATCAGTACTCTGAAACACTAAATCAAATATTTGTTCCAGGGAAGACTAAACGAAACCAGGGGTAATAGATTACAAAAAAAAAACACTCCATCCTAAAGGAAATTGACAGTGAATCTGAACATTGTGTGGACATTTTACTGTTATCTTTGAAGAATTCAAGGGATGATAAGCAGAGTGAAATTTGATTTCTGGTATTTACAATTAGTCAAACGATGCCGTGACTCGGTACAATTACACAAGGCACACAAATACATATTTCCCTTGAACTTTAAGGACAAACATCAATTAAAGTTAATAGCTTGGGAAGAGTGTCAAATGTTTTCTTCATATGCCAGACAGGAGGCTAAAAAGGTGCTTAAAAGGACACTCGCAAAAGATGATAATGCACTTTCATTTAAAAGTGGACGCTGAGGCCAAACCACACTCCTGTGTTATGACAACAGAGGCCAGCACACTTGGGCCAGTCAAGCAGACCACAGGGTGATGGGTCATAAATCTGCTGGACCAAACAGATGAGGCAACAAAGAAAGGTTTCTGGAGGACAAAGTGCTCTGACCAAACTCTTCACTGCAATACACCTTCTTAACTATCCATGTCCTATTTCATCCTCCTGTGCTCTTTATCTTCACCAAAATTAACACAGACCCACATCCCCAAAAATCACGGGTCGCCCACTCCCCCAGACATTTGACTCTTTGTAATAATTCTGAGCAGTCCTGACAAATGCCACAACTTGCTTAATTGCTGCTGGTTTTTGTACCTTAATGAGAATGTTATTGTATGTCAGTTTCAAAGGGGGGGAGAAAAAAAAAAAAAAAAAAAAAAAAAAAAAAACACGCACGCACATCCAGTGCTTAAGTGAACCAGGCTGACTCTTGTTATCCTGAAGTGGTGCTTTGCTGAGAGCAGCAGTCTCATTTTGTACCGTCACAGGCACTCAGACCCCCAGTCATGTGTTAGTCAGTTGTGAACAGAACTTTTGTGTGCTGGCTCACAGGAAGAATTAAACAGCTTCCTGTCTGAGGGAGGAGGTGCATTTGTGTGTATGCGTAGGATGTGAGTCCAGGTTGTCTAGACAGGACAAGTTCATGTCTGACTGCGACTCTTCAGTAGAGGGAGTAAGCTTTACGAGAGATTGAAGAGCCACTTCAGTGGGATTCATTTTTTTCCTCAGACTGGCTGTTTTTGCTTTCCTTGAAGCATTTTAGAATTAAAGTAACTGATCAATTAATTAGTTGAGTTGCTCAGAGGAAGGACTGTGATAGTCTGAATTATTCAAGTCATTTATCAAGACAACCAAACCACATAAACATGTCGGCATCAGCTCCTCAAAATTGTTGCACGTACTTAAAGTGATGTTTGTTAAATTAAATGATCATGAAAAGAAAAAAAAATATGAACAGATTAATCAATAATAAAAAATAATTGTTAGATGTGACCCTGCAGCATTTCTGTGTGATGTAAACTGGCACCATAAAAAAAAAAAAAGTGTGCATCTGAGATGTTCTTAAAACTTCAAGAAGCACATTTTCAGAGATTTCTCCAAACTGTCACAGAGTTTAAAAATGTTATCTAGCAGTTGAAAGTGGAAAATCCCTAAGGTCTCTGTTTGGATGTAAGTGCTACCAAATGGAATCCGAGGTCAAAATAGGAGTGGAACTGAGTGATTTTTATGAATCGCAGTACATAGACCTTTTGCTGAGCCCTCCTCGAGCCAGCACAGATGGACTGTGCCTTTGTTAGGACACAGCTGCCATTGGTATGGGAGAAGTACAGCGGCAATAATTGGTTTAATAGTTTTAATTCATGGTGTTATGTTGACTTTCTGTGCTTTGTCTCTGTATGGGACATTTGTTGTCGGAATCTGAGTTGTGCTAAAGCGACAGAGAGGCAGACAAAATAGAGAGTTTGAGGCAAAAACACAGTTAATATTACAAAATAATAAGGTTGACAGCATAAGATTATAAAACTGTAGAGTATAATAAGAAAAACTGACTATGGGGTGGGTGGGCAGTGATAAAAACAGCCACTGGAGGACTAAACTTGGAACAGGAAATAGCTTCTGTGCGACTGACTAGACACACTGGACCAAAAAAACCTCCTACAGATACGTTAATATGAGAAAAAGAACTGGAGCCAATGATTTGCTTATCAAAAAAAAAAAAATCTCCACTCTCTTTTCCAGTAATGCTGTGCCTCATTTTCTGCTATCTGGAGCAAAGGCCAGCTGGACAGACCCAGTCTCCTCTCATCCTCTTTGATTGTTGTGCAGTCAGCAGAAAAAATGCACAGGAAACTGAAAAGCCCAGAGCTGTCCAGATAACAAAAAATGAAATGCTTCCAGGCCAGAGTTGCTGTAAGTCACACAGGTCAGCTGCCATAGCCTCTGTTAGAGTTAAAAACATTCCTTGTCTGGGACTGAAGTGCCTGCTATGGACACACTGTACACACAGCGCTGTCGTAAAAGGGCACAGAACATTATCAGGGATCCACTCCACCCAGCTCACACTCTGCTCAGACACAAAAACTGCCCCCACAACTCCAGGCACAGCAGAGCGGACAGTATCATCACACACAGAACAAGATTTTACAACAGCTTTTTCCCTGCCGCAGTAAGACTGATGGCAAATACAAAATGTGGAAAACCTGTGCAACAACCCCTCATTACCCTACTAAGTATAAGACCATTGACAATTACATTACGTGCAATACCATGCGCAATATTTGAAACTCCCCATTTTCCCTGCCAACTTATTCCTGTATCCACAATTTTATCAACTATTTTGTATTTGTGGGTATTCTCGTTTTTTGTATTCTTGGGTAATCTTATATTTAGACTAGGTGTTTGTTCTTTTGGCTTTAAACTCTTTACTTGACTCCAGGAGAGCCCTGCACATGAATTCCTATATGCCTAGACTGTTTCTGAATAAATAGCAAATAAAAATCTTGAATCTTGTTACTATTAGTTCTTCTTTTTGCAAGCAACGATGTAGAGAGATACAAATTCAAAAGTAGAACCACCTCACACTGACAAACCTTTACAGCTACTGTAAAACATCTTGCAACACCTTGGCACATGCCCATTCAGCCAAAAGAAATTTGCCCTGAATTTCTGAGAAGTTTTGAATGAATTTATTACAAAGGCAACAGGCACATTCCTAGCCAGGCCCAGAGAAAAGCTGCAGGCCTGTTTCTCCCCCGTCCCCCTTCATATGCTTTCAACAACAGCCTCTTTGTATATTTAAACTCAATAGAGTGTGCTATTTCTTCTTGTTCACCTCGCAGAACTGCTCTGTGAACCCCTTAACATTTTAGGGGGGAAAAGCTCCATTCATGCCAAATTAAAAACAATGTTGAGTGCTACCTGTAGAAGCCAGTAAAATAGGAGAGCTAGAGGCCCTGATCCCGCCTGCACCGGGGTCCAGTGTGTGACCTCTGAGACATTTCTGATAGGACAGGGTGGTGCCAGTGATGGGAGATATTATCGTGTGTGTGAGTCTTGCGTACTACTACACAGTGGAGGACAGTTCAACTTGGATCTGATATTAGTGGAAGAGATGATAGCTAAACCAGACAGTGAGCAGAGAGAGCAGTGAGAGTTATTTCCATTTACATGCATTTGTACATTGGTATGTGTCTGTGTTTTAAGCCTGAGACAGACTGATAATCTCTGTTTACCAAACATTACTGTGAGACAGATGGAGCCGAGGTTCCCCAGGACACAACTCCAGAGCTAACAGGACGGCCAGTCAAGAGACATTACTCTGGCATGCAGAGCTCACAGTGTTTAATAAACATAACAAATTGCCAGGGATAAAAACAAAGTGAGAGGAAGGACATGATTAGCTAAGTCTGATGTAGAACACTTCCAGAACCCTTCCAAAAATAGTATTACAAGAGAGAGTTTTTGGCTCAGCAGAGTGGACACCTTCAGGACGACAGAACCCATCATCCTTCATCCAAAAGGAGTTTATCCCCTGACTCACTGCCAAACAATCACACCTCAATCTCACATTTGCTTCATGACTGTTCTCTACATCACCACTAAAAATATGCAAGCTGCTCTGCCTGCTGTCCTGTAAACAAATCCTCCGTTCCACTTACTGAAAGTTTTGCAGATGTCGGACACAGCCTTGAAGACACGGTCTGAGAAGTTGACCTTGACCTTCATGTGCTTCATGTTGGGCAGCTGGAGGCGCAGAAGCTTGTGCTGCGGAGTGAAGAGCAGCCTGGCGTCAGCTTGGATGCCGTACTTGTCCAGTGTCCAGTGGGTCTTCAGCAGCCATGTTTTCTTCTTCTCCCACCACAGAGCATGGTCTGACCAGTCCTTCTTCACATCTAGGAAGAGCAAGAAAAGGTGATCAGACAGGTTTTAGTAGCAACTGCAGAGATGCAAAAGAAAACACAGCATAAAACTAAATGGTTGTGTTTTTTTTACTGACATTCTCTACAAAACTGCATGGCTACATTAGTTCCCATTTGTATCTACTGACAACAAAGATGAAGATATTGTTGGCAAAGCAAAAGTGTCAGAAGAGCGAGTCTGTATGCATCTCACTGTGATGACCTGAGCTCACCAAATGTATCCTAGGGCAGAGGGTCACATTTAGGGTGAAGGGGGGTCAGGGCATACAGAAAAGGTTTGCACAGGGGTGGTGAAGTGAGAGGGAGGAGACATTTGACTGTGTGAAAGACATGGCTGTTTGTGTGACACTGTGGGGATATCAGGTTCATACCACCCTCTTTGTTCCAAAGTCATACTGTGAGCCCTCTAAAGCAGACACAAGCCACCCAAAACCCAATGTAGCTCGCAGGCTTTCTCTCTGCAGGAGCTCAGCACAATGAGGACAAACCTGTGGTCTCATGGTGTGCGTGTCTCGCTTCACAGAGAAGTTGAAAACTGCAGGGATTTAGGGGAACTCGGGGTAGCTGTTTAGCAGATCACTGTGCTTTGGATTCTGTATGAGCAGCATTGTGATGAGGTGAAGTTGTGTTTGAGCTCAGACATATCAACGTGAAAGGTAGACATAAAAAAAGCAATACCTCCCAAATTCAAAGACAGCATAAAAGCCACTCTACATCCATGTCATATTTTATTTATGGCATACTTTCACAAACTAGTCAAAACAAATGGCAGGCCAACTGGCTTCTGGGCTGCTGACACGCATCCCATGCTCTATACATGTTGCCTATTGTTTAAAAGCAAAATCTAATAGCCTTGTTACCAAAATGTGATAACCGATATGGAGTGAACAGGGTATTATACTTTCAGATGTCCCTGAGCAGTGATGTCATTACTCTGGCATTAGTACAGGAAGGCATGTCCCGGAGCAATCTCTCATTTCCTCCACCCACATAGCCCTTCATTGCTTCTCCAGCCTATCCTCCGTCTCACTCAGAGTCTCTCTCTCCTGAGAGTCACTGCATTCAGACACAGACATCGCTTTACTCAGTGATCCTTTAATCACAGCGTTCGATCTGAACTGTTTCAACTCTTATACTGTGGTGTCAGTGGTTTGTTTAAAAGGCATATACACTAATCAAGGAGAAAATCTGTCATCTATTGTCATAGCCAAATGTTAACTATCCTAGAAAGCTAAAAGAACAGCCAGCCAGCATATCACAATATTCATAGATGTTATAATCATTCCTATTGTCTATACTAGCTGTTAAGAAAGCCCTTCTTTCAGTGTGATGGCAAAATCCAGAGCCCTTGTTTTGTGTCGGAATGCGTTCTAAACTGAATTCTATTATAAAAATAATCACAAAAAAAATCATATTGAGCTTCTGTAAGGAAACATCTCTTTGCATTCAAGGCTGGTAGTGGTACTTTACAGGGGCCATTCATATGTATCGTCGATACTCTCCTGCTGATCCTGTCTAATGGCTGAATGAATGAGATTTAGCAGGTGAGTTGGTGAAACACATTGGCCGCTTGGAGCCAAGAAACAAGACTGGTGTGATGTGAGTAAAGCAAAATGGGATGAAGAAGAGATTACACTGGTGATTAAGATGGGGGGGGGGGGTGGGGGGAAGGGTGGTAGGACTGCGTGAACTGAGTGGGGAGGGGCTGTTTGTCAAGCTGTTGGGGTTTATACTGTTTACTCCAACAGGCAAACACTTGGTACTGGAGTGAAAACATTCCAAAGTTTCTTTCTGAGACCCTGTTGTGAGTTACTCTAGCAGCAAGGGGTCTAGCTGGCCGTCATCACTTCCTTCTGATGCCTCAGCTGTGCAAAATACATCATCAGAGAAACTGCCTTGTTAAGTGTACTGCAGCTATTAAGGGCCAAAATAATGAGAGGGAGTAAGTAAAGAAAAAATGAAAATAGAACTGAATGTATTTTCATAACTCTGGTCGCAGTTTTTCCTCTTATAACTTGTAATTTCTGGTGTCTGAGAGCAATGCTGAACAGCTAGCATCAACATTTGGCACCCACCTCTTCACCACACTCCACTATATACAGTATACAAGCGTCCTTATACTCAGTATGCATGGCCACCATAGAGTCTGTGGTGAGGCATGACTGCACATCTTGGCTGGTCTCAGTTAACCTCAACATGCTCTCGATGGCCCCTGCTCCACTGTTTCCTCATCGCCACACATTGCCAAAACCTTACTGGACACAGACTTTCCGTCTACTTGCTTGTGTCATTACGCAGTGTTTCGATGTGTTGTGATTGGTTGAGGTCAGCTCGGGGAGGTGTCCATTTCAGTAACAAGGTGGTACCTCATTCCACAGAGAGGGAGAAAGAGAGGGCCAGTGGCATATTTCATATAAAGATACAGCTTGCCAACCCTGACGTAATGCAGCAGCTGGAGGAGCGGGGGCCTAAGTAATTGGGTGCATTAAATGTGAACCCACATCCCCTTAGTAAAGTGATGTGTGTGTGTGTGCACGCAAGGAGAGTTTAAAAGACAAGGGGAGGGTAAACGGAATGGGAAAACCATGTTTTATGACCTCTGCAGGACATGAAAGATGATACAGAGACAGTCTGTATGTGTGTGTGGTCATGAGTTTGGGGGATTTGTCAAAGGGAGGATGTTCTTCCATCCATTAACTACATTAGCTCTTTGCCTGTGTGTGTGTGCTTTAATAAGCTAAATTAATTCATAAATTTCTCTGTCGAACAGAGTTCTTTTCATTCACCATCACCACAACAGCTCGAGCAAGACCACTTCTTCTGCTTTGTGCACCAGATCCCACAACAAAATGCTGCTTTTAAGACTTCAATTAACACTGCAATATTTTAAGAGGCAAAAAAATTCACTTAAAATGTTGCACTGTAGCCAGAAAAATACCAAGTTTGCAGAACTTTTTTGTTTGACTTGGAATAAACTGAACTGTCCCTAATTGCTTCTCCTCCCCAAATTCACTCTCTCCATCAGTGGTGTTTACATTAGGAGGCAACTATGTCTATGGATGTCTGTCTGTGAGGGGGAGGGGACAGGACAACAGAGGAGAGGATGAGAAAGAAGGAAAGAGCATGGAAAGAAGAGAAGACAAGTATGAGTAGAGGACAGGGAGCAGCCATGATAAAATAAGTGCAAGGTAGAGCAAGCCAGGAGAGAATTGAAAATAAAGGGCCTCTATAAAAGTGAGAAAGGCTTTTATGCCTAGAAGAATAAAAATTCTGAGATTTCAGCCAAAGCATCTATTTGTTACCAACACAAATTTGCACACATACAGTACATACACACAATGATTGGTATGATACAACACTCCACCTATCAGTATTGTGTTATTAACTCCTTACTGGGCTTTAACCAGTAAAGCTGTGACAGTCAACTGATGACCAACGCAAAACTAAGACATCTCTAACAGCACTGATGGAGGTGATTTGATGATCTTACAGGTCAGGACTTTCTCACCATGTCTGCACATTCACCCTTTTTATCTAAAAATGTTTTAGTCATCAGAGCCGAGCTGTTACTTATCAGAGACAACAACTGGACGTGCAGCACAAGGATTAGTCTTTTTTTTTTTTTTTTTTTGCCATCGGCTGATAAAACATGACAGCCGGGTGAGGCTGGTCATGCTGTTTCCTTGGTGACTGCTGGCTGACGCCACAGGGGCAGTGGAGCAAGACGACACAACAAAGACACAGAACACACACACAGTTTATCCCCAGTTACATGAAAGCTCATCTTTTGGAAAATACACCATACAGAGAGAGACAGACAAGAACTGCTCTGCATTGCCCTTAACTTATATGTATTGTAAATGACCTGTATGCACACACTTGCTCATGCATTCAAGCTACAACATCAGATATCCAACATCTATACAACAGGTTTAACTGTGATAGGTGATGACAATATCTGTATGACAGACATGAGGCACAGAATGACAGTTTCACAGTGGAATATTGAAGTGATAGAGTGAATTCAACAACCCTTGGCTTGTGCTTGGACCTTGTTTTATCTTATGGTGTACCTGTTCGTGAGTTGGAAATCTGTGATGCTGTGTTTTCTGATCATTTGCCCGTGTTATTTGCAATTGATCTTAATTATTATCTTACTGCCCCTTGCACTGCCCCACGGCTCTGCCGTGTATTTAATTCCTCCACTTTCACTCAATTCTCTGACTTTATTAATGGAAACCTCATTATTCCTGATTCTACGGATACAGAAGAGCTTGCATTACACCTTCACTCTACCTGTCAGGCCGCCATCGATGCGGTGGCACCATTGAGGACCAGGCGCCCCAAGACTAAGCTCGAGCCCTGGTTAAATGAAGAGTCCCGTGCTGCCAGGCGTGAGTGTCGCAGGGCTGAGCGCAAGTGGAAAAAGGACAAACTACAAGTGTCACTTCAGATACTTAGAGACTCTTGGCATGATTATCAAAAAACTGTGAAAAATCTTAAGAGAAATTATTTCTCTAATATCATTCAGTCAAACTGTCATAAGCCTCATGTGTTGTTTAAAGTTATTGACTCAGTTCTGAATGTCCCTCAGGTTGCCTGTTTTGAGTCTTCCCCCGCCCTTTGTCAAAAATTTTTATTCTTTTTTAATGATAAGGTTCTTTCTACCAGAGCTCAAATTTTACCTCCTGTTTACGATTTTTCTGTTTCTCGTCCCTGCTCTGCTGTCTTCTTTCTTAGATGAGCACAATATTCTTGAGACTTTTCAATCAGGGTTTAAAACCCAGCATAGTATTGAGTCAGCCTTGGTGAAAGTCTTAAATGACATTTTTCTTGCTACTGACTCAGGGAATTGTGTGGTCCTAGTGCTCTTAGATTTGACTGCTGCTTTTGACACAGTGGACCACAATATCCTTATTTCTCGTTTGGAGCACTGGGTGGGTATCCGGGGGATAGCTTTGGAATGGTTTCGA